CTCCGAGATATAGGCAGTAACGCGAAGATTTGATAGAAACCTTCCGTCTTGTACGTGGCTTGGAGTGTGCTCTCACGCGTGATGACTTTTCTAACTCGCCACTGCAACCGATCTCCGGGAACATTAATTCAAACTATGTGTGCCCCAAGGACGATTGGATGTGAGAAAGTATTTTTTCTCTAACCTGTTCGTGGACCCATGGACTAATTTACCCGAGGCGGCCGTTGTCCCAATCTGCGGAAATGTTCAAACACCGAACTGATATCCATATGTTACAACACAGCGTGAACGATGTGAAAAATTAACCTTGAAACATCAATTCACGATGTGACTGTCTACATTTTCCTGACTGAAAACTCGTTGACATCGTTTCTAATGCTTGAGAATTTGATGTGACAAATAGGGAGTTCAAAGGCGTAAGCCTATTTTTCCTCTAATATATTGACTGACCGGACATCTACTTGAGCAGAAAATATTTGGCAGTATGCAATATAAGAGTTGTACGGTCAAATATCTTTGGAGATATACCGTTCTTGAATTGCTGGACTCATTGATTAAACCAAAGCATGGACATCACTATTTAAGACTAGGAAGGACAAGCATAAGATAAAGTATCAGTTTAATTTTAGGAAAGTAGAAACAATGAGAAAGAAAGCCACAAATCCAACCAGATTTGGATGTGATTCTATCAACATGAGGCGATAAATATAAGTAAATGATGTAGCTTAAAAAAAGTCCTTGATGTTGGAATATTCAACTATTGGGTTGCCTTGAAAAATATCTGGTCGCGATAGCCTTTGAGTCTCAAAACACATTTAACGACAATCAGAAAGTGATAATTCTATTAAGAACGCTGAGTTCCACGGGAAGGTGTTTGCAAGTATGAGTGGATGTGTTCTAAGAATAATTCAGCCTTAGAGTTAGAGAGGGAATGCACACAGTCGAGATCATCAGCACAAACAAAGGGCTGAGAATCTCTAACTGTCGATAAAATATCTTTACTGTAAAGAAAAACATAAGAGGACCATAAAGGGTACCTTGCAGGACACCGCTTATAATCGAGGTCTCAGTTGAAAATGAGGACCAGACCAATATGTTTTGCTTTAGATTAGATAGATGTGACCTAATAAAGTGAATAAGAGGACGAAGAATTCCTGGAGCCTCTATAGAATTACGCTTTAAATACCGGCCACCTATTAGACACTTTATTAAAGGCTTTACTGACGTCGACATTAGACATCGTGTATTTATTTTTTCGGCCATTTCCATCTAAATCGGGATTAAATGGCAAAGTTTAACTCCATAGCTACATAAGCTACACGGAATTATTGCATAAAAACACCCGCATCGAGCTGGTCTGTCGACAGACAGAACCAAAGAGGTATTCGAAAACTTAAGGCATGTGAGTAATTAAGGGGATCAGGTATTGGTCCTTAATGTGCATGACATGGGTAAAGCTTCGGTTGTTTCTTTTGAATTGTAGTCCCCGTTTACAAAAAGCTTAATTTGAAAATAGCTTGAAGTAGCTAGGGAATTTAACAGCTAAAACGGATTTATTAGCGAGTTCCGAAAATGCACTTTTGGGCACATGCTTGTTTGTTTTACTCTACATATCTTTCTAGGGCCCTGAAGTACTCTTTAAAATTATCGGTTCGTTTTTGGCGCTCGCTGATAATTCTCGTTAATCCGTCCCGCACTGCGGGCCGCGCATAGTTCGCCTACCTAGCGAAAACCTCGTCCAAAGCAAACCCAATTTAAAAATGTCGAGTGTTACGCTTATGTGGGTCGGTGACCTGAACCAAGACAGGAAAATGCAGGGGCTATCCACAAAGGTCTCGGATGAAAAGTTTCGTCCGAAAAT